TGGTTATGCTGAGGATATGTCGGCCAATTTCCACTGGAAATGCCTTTTGGTTAAACTGTCAGCAAGGATTTGCATTTGCACTGTAAAATTTTTATATAGCCTTAATGCACATAAAAAACAGCTGCTTGTTCAAGTGAAAATACATTGATGGGGTTTTTTTGCACTAATAAAGTTATGGAGTTGTAAAGTGATCTAGTGTCAATTATATCGTCAGTTATATCGTTATCGCAAATTTTCAAATGTATATCGTGATAAATATTTTTGATCATATCGCCCTGCTCTACTATTTACTTTTCTTAGATGTCACAGCAGAACTTCAGAAGAAAGATTTAGGGAATATCATACAACGATCACAGCACCAGCAATGGCCCGCCGGACCATGTAAAGAACATCCAGGTCTATTTGAATCTACTGTTGAGGAGAAATCACTCAAAGGCTAAGATCTGACAGACTTGGGAAAAACCCTTCCAAGGGGAAAAAAATGGCTTGGACTGGGAATACCTTTTTAGTCCCTACATATAAACCATATTGGTTGGACCAGGCTGGTTTCCTGCTCGCTTTCTCTGTAAGGAGTTACCGCATCAAAAAAAGAGAATATAACTATTATACAACAGAAAAAAATCAGGTCTGCAGATGACCTGCAATATCTTTTGGGGGAGCGGTCACACTTACAACACCAAATCCAAGTCCTTGAGGAGGATCAATTTGAATACCATAATGATTCAATATTTTTTTAACTCCAAATTGAAATTTATTCAAAGAGGGTTTCAGAGGCAACATCAATGCTGAAAACAGAATGGAAAAAAAATTATCTGACCTTTGAGTTTTCCATATCAGTGGCGGTTGATTGCTCTTTTGTTACATTATACCGAAATTGTGGTGAAATCCCAGGCCAGCTAACGGCTCAGGATGAATATTTATCAGTTTAAACTACTTTTGGCTGTGAGGTAAGACAGCCATTGAGTGGAAAAAGCTGCAGCTAACCCTCCAACAAAGGTCGACTAGATTGTAAAGGTCAATTAAATAAACTCAATGGAGAATCTGACCTTTACCTCAAGACTGCAATAAGATTAAGATATAATACTGGGCACTTTATATAGCACATGGAACTGCCAATCTCTTTTGTCCTTGAATTTAAGTGTTGCTCACGTCTCTTTTTGTTTTTTTGTGTCAAAAAAAGCAAATTTCAGTTTGATTTTATGTGAACTGATGTTAGCATTTAGTTCAAAGCTCTTCTGCTGCACTTTGGGCCTCTGATGGATAAGGAATATTTTACATAACAAATGGAGAAAGTACTGGACACGGACCAACTGTGCCCATAGTTTCCCTCCAAAGACGCAATTTAAGCCATAAAATCTCCTGAAATTTGCAATAAGTGACAATAAAATGACAGTAAAACACAATACATGCCAATAGGCTGGCTGCAAAACATGAGAGAGCAGCTTTTTTAATTATAACTTAAACAACTGTAATCTCAGAGATCAAAGTCACATCTGCAGAATACGAGCTAACATATGGAAAGTTAGTCTGTCAATTTCTATCTACAGTAGAGGTAAGATCCACAAAGGTGCTTTAATTTATGAGATACCCATACTGGCCGTATGGTTTGGAGGTAAAACAAAGTTTAAGACTGCACCAACCTAGGTTGAAACTTCTGGCTCATTGGAATGGGTCAAATTATGACTTGGCTTAAAGTTAATCAAATTACCCTCTGCCAATCAGGCTCAGTCAGCTGATCTATTATAGCCTACAGAATGAAGAGACCTAGCTTTGTAAAAGTTGTTTTGCCAATATTATTTGAAGGTAACTGAGAACATAAACATTATTTGACTAAAATATATTTTGCTCAAGAAACATTTAATTTAAATATCAGAGGGTAGTTAATTAGCACCCCTTTCACACCTCCTTATTTTACTTGGTTCATGTTCTAAAATTTTGTATGTAAAGCACTGAAACAGTCACAGATTACAGTGTTGTCCCAAAACCTTTAAAGACTCAGTCACAGTTTTGGGATAGATCAGAAATTTCATTTTGAAATTACATGGAATTAGTGCTAAAACAAACACAAGACACTTTAGATGAAGATTGTGTAGCTTAGAGACTGAACTTAAATGACAACATTTAAGAGCTTCAGTTTGAAATATTACACATAAAAACCATTACTCGTTGTGTTACTGGTGTCCTGCACACATTACCAAACCTATACTGCCCTCATGTGGTACCTGTGGATCACCTCAGCATCAGGTGTGATGGTGTGACCAGCTATTCATTACAGTTTGTAGATTAGAGCGTGTAATCTACAGTGGATTACATGTAGTATCTCAGTACTAATATGTACAATTGAAAGGCTATCTGCACCAGGGCATTGGAAGCACGGGCCTGCATGTTTTGAATAGCTTCATTTATTAAAAAATAATAATAATAATAATACGTATAAAATTATTTTATCTTAAGGCATTGATTAATCTAGTCTTAAAAAGTGTATTATGATATTTACCTCTGTTCTTTAACCTGAAAGAGCATCCTTCCCTGTAAGACCTAGCTGAAGTCATTACTGTAGACAAAGCTTCTTAAGATCTGATGATGTTGTTTTTTAAGCTACCAACAGCAGCTAGCATTTGTCTTCTCCTGAGTGTTCTCCTCATGACGGAACAGAAGTAAAAGAGGCTTACTTTTAATTCAGATCTAACTTAAACTAATTGCTGTAAAATAGTGCAAATGTTTACAATTTAACATTATAAAATGCAAAAGTATCAGTTATAAAGGATCACTTTTATTAAGTATCAATTGAGAGATCTCCATCTTTGGAATACTTAGAATGTATAAGCAATTTGCAGTTTTGTGAAAAAGAATTTACCCCTTTCCTGATGTATTAGTTTTTCATATTTGTTATTCAAACCTACCTGGTCCTGTGTGAAAAAACAATTTCCTTCCTTGTTGAGTCAAGAATTAACTGTGATTAACCACATTGTTTTTACACTAGCCACAACCAGGCCTGATTACTGCCAGACACAGTGACTGTATGACTAATCCAGAGAGTTCCTGGATAAATCATTTTAACAATTACCTTAATTTCTTCACAATGTCCATTAATCTAAAAGCGCAGCCCCTGCATGGCAGTAGATCAGACCATCTGAGGGAGTTCTCCCCTTGCAAATGTTTGAGTTGCAAGGGGACACTGACAGAGGCGAGGCTGCCAGACACTAGCACCACCGGGCCCTCTGATCAACACCAGTAGGCAACGGGTGAAGTGTCTCACCCAAGGACACAACGACCGAGACTGTCCAAGCCAGGGCTCGAACCGGCAACCTTCCAATTACAAGGCGAACTCCCAACTCTTGAGCCACGATCGCCCCAATAAAAAAAGCCAGAGAGCCCTATGTTCAAAAGAAGGATGTTGGAGGAAGATGTTGCTAAATGTGCTAAGTTAACTAACCTAACTAACAGCAGTCAGACCCCAGGTGCAGACTGTCAAGAGAGAATGTGGATGAAACTTTCTATTGTCACCATAGACCACAAAGGTAGCACAACATTTGATATGCCAGAGGGGCCGATGGCGCGATATGGCAGCCTCGCTTCTGTCAGTCTGCCCCAGGGCAGCTGTGGCTACAACTGTAGCTGCCTCCACCAGTGTGTGAATGTGAGAGTGAATGAATAGTGGTATTGTAAAGCGCTTTGGGTGCCTAGAAAAGCGCTATATAAATCCAATCCATTATTATTATTATTATTATAAAACCAATCATACCCGACGGTATTAGTCCAGCTTGTTTTGTACAGACCAATACTTCCACAACGAATCACAATTATCCTACCATTTTAAGAGGCCCATCAAAATACTCCCAGAGCTCATGAAAAAGTCATCCAGGAGGACACAGAAACAAAGAATACACTAAAGCTGAACTTTTTGGAAAGTTTGAGTCCTGTTAGATCTGGTATATATCTAACACAGCATTTCATAAACGAACATCACACCAACAGCCAACCATGGTGGTGGTAGTGTTATGATCTGGGGCTGCTTTGTTGGACCTGGAACTGGATTATCTGCCATAATTGATGGAAACAAGAATTCTGATTTCTGTCGATAAATCGTAAAGGACGATGTCCACCCACCAGTTCATGCCCTGAAACTCAATTTCAGTTATCTAGGGGGTGATACAAAAGACACCACCAAGTCCACCTCTGAATGCGTAAAACAAAAACAAAATTAAGGTTTTGGAGTGGCCTAGTCAAAGTCTGAGTTTCTATCACATTGGAATGAAAATTGGGATCTTAAACAGGCCATTCATGCTTGAAAACCATCCAGTGTGGCTGAGTTACCACAATTCTGAAAAGAATTGTGGTAACTATCTCAAAATTCCTCCACAACAATATGAAAGATTTATAGCCAGTTATCATAAACGATTGATTGCAATTCAAGTTACCAAGGGTGGGACAACCAGTTTTTATCCTAGTTATTAGTTCATACAGTGCCATATGGCAGGAGCACTAATCCCTTATCAGTCATGAGGTTAGTTTCCACTGCAGGTCACATCCTCAGTGTTTGCACTGTGCAGTTACACAAATTAAACCTTACACAGTCGTGTTTGTACAGATATTTCTTCTAAAAGATTATATTCAGAATTATATCTTAAGTGTGGAGGTTTGGGAACGGCCCCATTAAGACATTCACACCATGCCTTGAAAAATATATCAGCACCATTTTTCCCTTTAACATAACTATGATTACATAATGTGTCTAAATGGATAAAAACAAGTTTTTCACTGGTTATTTCTACCTGTTCTCAAAACGACCAGGCTGCGCAGAAACTGACAAAGTTGCTGCACAAAAACCAGCAAACTCTGCCCACAGGCACACAACAAGAACCAGATGTGCCACTTTAGTTCTGTTTCACAACAACCATCCCATGACATATCGATGCAGAGGGGGTGTGGTGTCACGTGGACCAGTGTTAACCAGGAGTGGTTTTTAAAGGAGAGCTCACAGAGGAGCATTCCCGAGATCTCAGCCCAGCATCAGCATACACACAACTACACACTTCCTACCTGGAGGACGGAGAGGATGGACGCTGCATACAAGAGGGTTAATGGAAACTACAGCCCAGAAGCAGAAACAGGGGACCAAGTCCCAGGGGTAAATCTGACTTATAGCTGACTTAAAAGCCATTTGTGTTTTCTTTCTTTTAGCACTACATTCAATTTTGTCTGTTTATTTGTGTTCTTTTTGTGGAGGTTATACAAAACAAACAGCCTTAAATAGCGATTCAAACCAGTGTGTTTTTATTAAAACAACAGTATAGCTGGGCAGAGCTAGAAAATTCGGGGTACAAGAGCACACAAAGCAGAGAATTACAGTGAATAGAGGTGAAAAACAGCTGACAATAATGGAAAAAGTCAGAGTGCTAAACAAATGCAAGAAATGTCCCTACTCTGCAGGCTTCTGTTTTTGTTTCTGAATGACAAAAGCACCCTTTAAGTTCATTTTTATAATCAAATAATTAAAGCTACAGGTAACTTTTTGTCAGATGGACCACGAAGTTGATATCTTTAATATCAGTTTGAGCTCTGTGTATCCATTTATTTAACTGACATCAGATTTCATAAGCAACATATTAGAAATCTTTAACTGGAGCCTGAATAAAAGCCATACAAAAGATGTAGAAATTCAGTCACCTGTTGAACTCTTGCAGTCAAAACTGTCCTTTAAAAGCTTAATTTTATGTGGGTTCCTTTTAAAAAAAGCATGGGACATGTTCAGTTTAATAAATAATTAACTAGGTTGTTATTTCTTCATCTGTATTTACTCATCTGTAAAACATCTGTAGAAGAAATGAGGGGATGTGTTGGGTTTTTGTTTGTGTTTATCTGAAACCCTCTTTGAATATGGCTGAGTGTGAAGGCTTTGAACTTTACGCGCTGCCCTGGATGGCTTTAAACTACATAACATGCTCTCTAACTGCATATGGCAGGCAGACAAAAGGAGAGCCAAACACTATTCTAACAATTTTTAAATTCATGATTCACATCCCCGCACTAAAAGTGAATCTGTTGCATTTTTGTAATAGCTTTGCATTACCAACACTGTATGCACAATTTCATCCATGTTGTATTTTTATATAAAATCTGTATATTTATCTTAAATACGTCTCTCAGCAGAAGAGAAGGGGCTCCATGTACCTGGAGGAGGAGACCAACAATAAGTCAGAGGTGATCTCCTGCATCTTCTCCTTAAAAGAAGAGGTCGGAGCTTTAGCCAAAGCCCTGAGGCTGTTTGAGGTAAACTTTTTATATCAGTGGACAGCCCTGGGTCCTAATGGGGTTCAGTGACAAACTGAATGCTAATGATATTCATGTACCTTTCAATATCATTAGGATTTCTAACTTGTTCATTTAGTCATGGAAAGCAAAATTACAAGCAGCTCTTCCAGTAATAAACCATAGGTTGTTAAATTAATGTGTGAATGGTTCGGTATATTAATCTTTATTTATGACAGTGTCTGACTATTGTGAAATGCATTCAAGAAGAATAATTTATTTTAAAAAAATATTAAAATGTGTTTAGCATTGTCAGTACGTTGAACATTGTGCCTCTTGGCTTTCTTGCAGAAAATTAGATTCATAGGGGACCATTAAATGTAGAGCTATAGCCAGCCACTGGTTGCTGGTTAGGTTCCGAAGAGCGGTTCTGACTGGACTAGATATAAATAAAATGCTTCAAGCAGCAGCTATAACTAAATAACATTTCATCCATCTATATATCCATATTCCTCATTTCTGGTTTTTATATCTCACATTTATATCTTATTTGTTTCATCTGTGTCACCAGTGTTTCTAAGAAGCTAAGCTTCAATGTGTGCTTTAATCTTACTAATTAGCATTTTACATTTCATTTGTATTTTCTATAGCACCTTAATTCAAAGTTTTTGTGAGAAGCTAAGATAATATAATAGTATATAATATAATACAATAGTTCTGATCTCACTAAGAATTTATACTATTTGTTTAATCTATATTACTTGATTCCACTCTTTGTGGCTGTGAGCTGGCTAAGCTAAGTCTAAGCTAAGCTATAACCATAAGCTACTTACCTTGTTAGACTAACAGGAACACACCCTGGATGCAGCCCACACAGGAACACCCCCAATCTCTCTAAGCAACATTTTACCATCAAATGGGTGTCTCCTGATTCAAGGTTTTGTAAACAGCTAAATATATGGTAAGCTAAGGTACATCCAGTAGCTAGTTTGTGTTAAGTAGAAACAATTTGGCTGGTCTAACTGAAACAAACTAATAATGACACTGATTGAAATAAATGCACATTTCTATATTATATTTGTTACATTTTTAAGTTTTATTTTTAAGCTAAGATTTATTATATAGGAAAGTACAATGCAAAGTGGAGGGAGCTAAGCTACCTTGTAAAATGCTAACTCATGCAACAGCTAAGCTAATTCTTAGCTAAACTACATTCACTATTTAGTTAGCTTATTTTAGCATTAGAGTAATCAGTTTAGCTTAATCGAACAAAGTCATGCTAGTAATACCTACAATTTCACCACATTAAAATTCTATGTCTGATATATTTAATCTATATGATTCAATTTCTACTCTTTGTAAGAATGTAAGCTAAGTGACAGGTAAACTAATCCTGCAATAAGCTACCTTGCAGGGCTCTAGATTAACTTTTTGCCATGGGCATACGGCACAAAAGTTAGGCGTACACAAATTTTATAATAATTTATATAATATAATGTGTTTTTCTGGATACACTGTGCTTTTTCAGCATTCAAAGATTGATGACACCGTGTCAGAGCACTGGCTATGAATT